AGCACAAGCAACAAAAGAAGAAGCAAACAAATTGGACTATATCAAAACAAAAAATATTTGTGCACGTAGGACACAGGATTCATAAACAATTTATCTTATAAGGGTCTAATATCCAGAATATATAGAGGACTCCTATAAGTCAATAAGACAGAAAGTCTCAAATGAACAACCCTGTTTAAAAATTGGCAAGGATTAGAATAGACATTTCTCCAGAGAAGATACACCAATAGCTAATAAGCACATGAAAAGATGTGCAATATTATTAGGAATCGGGAATGAAAGTTAAAACTGCAATGAAATACCACTTCCTAGATACCAGAATTAGCTATCATCAAAGAGAGGTAGTAAGTGTTGGTCAGTATGTGGAGAAACTGGCACTTTCAGACGCTGCTAGGGGGAATGTAAAATGAGACAGCCACTTTAGAAATAGTCTGGTAGTTCCTCCAAAGGTTAAATAAACATAGAATTACTACATGACCCAGCAATTCTATACCAGGTATGTATCAAAAAGAAATGAAAATATGTGTTCACACAAAAACTTGTATATGATATTCATAGCTGCATTATTCATAATAGCCGAAGATGAAAACTAATCACATATCCATCAACTGATGAATGGATTAAAAAAATATATGGTCCATTAGCCATAAAAGGAATGAAGTTCTGATACATATTACAACATGGATGAACCTTGAAAAAATTATACTAAGTGAAGGAAAGGAGTCACAAAAGATTGTATGGCTCCATATATATGAAATGTCCAGAATAGGAAAATATTGAGAGACAGAAAGTAGATTAGTGATTGCCTTGAGACAATAGGAAGGGGTTGGGGGTGGGAGATGGGGGTGACTGTTAATGAGCATGGGTTTTTTTTTTTGAGTGAGGAAAATATACTAAAATTTTTTGTGGTGATGGTTATATGACTATGACTTCCTAAAAACCATTGAATTATTTGCTTTAGATGGACAAATTGTATGACAGGTGAATTATGTCTCAGTAAAGCGGTTTTTAAAAAAGATTCATATTTTGTGATTTGTGGAGATTCTGGCTTGCTTATTGGGGGATGGAAGAGGAATTTAATGTAACACTCAAGTCTCCAAACTTGGCCATAGCTTCTCAAAAATGGGAACACAAGAGGAACTGATGGTTATATCTAATACTATATATATATATGTATTTATATACCTGTATAAATATATATGTATATACATACATGTATATGTATATATATGTGTATATATATATATATACACACCTCAAAAGTGTGAGGATTCAATGAGATAATATATAAAGCACCAAGAAAAATATCTAACTAGGTTCCCCTTTATCATTTTACCATTTTGCTTTAGCTTTTACTTCTTGTCAGATTGAAATGATCATTATTAGGTATTTTACCTTTTGCAATTCTTTATGTCATGGTTGCCCAGAAAGGCCAGGGAAGTGGGGCAGAAACAGAGCCTGGAGCCTGTTTCAGTCTGTGACTCCCTCTCTCTCTGACCCTCCCCTGTTCACGCTGTCTCTCTCTCTCTCTCTCCTAGAAATAAATAAAACATTTAAAAAAAAATTAAAAAAAAAATCCTCTAGAACCTTTGAGCTTGGCGAGGTATTAGGGTCATCCTTCACCACATCTAAAGGGCTTCGAACAGTTTTCTCTCCAGACAACTCTGAAAGGACATGGTGATGAACTCAAATCCCTGAGTGACTCTCAGTGGTTGTGAGCCCCTCAAGTGTCCCCAAAACCCAGGTGCAGCTGAGGCCTGTACTGTTGTGGGCTTTCCTGTGAACCAGAGCAAATGTTCCCAGCTGCCTCAGTTCAGATTCATACTGGAAGGTTTTCTTGGTGAACACCAAGTGCCTCTCTAAAACAGGGGGTTGTCTACACTTGTCTTCCCTCTTTGATGCAGGTAAATCAAATCAATGGCAAGGAAGTCAGCCTATGACAACTTGTTTATAAATTCTGTATTCTCAGTTTTGAATTTTTGATAGGGGTTGAGCTATTCACTTTATATAGTTGAATTTGGTACTCTGGATTTCTAATAAAACTTTAAAAAAATGTTTGTTTATTTCGAGAGAGAGAGAGAGAGAGAGAGAGAGAGCGTGTGTGCATGTATGCCAGTGGGATAGGGGCAGAGAGAGAGAGAGAATCTGAAGCAGGTTCCATGCTATGAAGTGCAGAGCCCAACGTGGGGCTCTAACCGTGTAAGATCATAACCTGAGCCAAAATCAAGAGTTGGATGCTTAACCAACTGAGTCACCCAGGCGCCTCAGGATTTCTAATAAAACTTTTGCTGGGACGCCTGGGTGGCTCAGTCAGTTAAGCCCCGGACTTCAGCTGAGGTCATAATCTCACGGCCTGTGAGTTCAAGCCCTGCATTGTGCTCTGTGCTGACAGCTCAGAGCCTGGGGCCTGCTTCGGATTCTGTGTCCCCTTCTCTCTCTACCCCTCCCCGGCTTGCACTCTCTGTCTCTCAAAAATGAATAAAAAATTTAAAAAATCTTTTGCCATGTGAGTGTGATTTTTCAGATATGGGTTGATCTATGGTCTCAGTCTTAACCAGATTTCTAGAGTGTGGCATTGTGCTGACCATAAGTATCAGTCAGCATTCCTGTTTCCTTTTTTTTTTTAATTTTTTATAGTTTATTTTTGAGACAGAGAGAGACAGAGCACGAGCGGGGAAGGGGCAGAGAGAGAAGGAGACATAGAATCTGAAGCCGGCTCCAGGCTCTGAGCTGACAGCACAGAACCTGATGCAGGGCTCGAACCCACGAACCGGGAGATCACGACCTGAGCCAAAGTCAGATGCTTAACTGACTGAGCCACCCAGGTGCCCCTCTTTTTTTCCTTTGAGAGGGTAGCCATCAGTAGGTAGCAGCCCCACATGGTCACTTCAAGGACTTCTGATTATATTAAATAAGTTTTTCTCAGAAGTATGGAAATTTTTGATACCAGTTTTCTTATATCCCTAGATAGTGTAAACTAGATGGGCTCCATTGGTGATAGGGAACGGGACACATGGGCACCGATTGCTTTGACAGGACCAGATACAGATGTATCTCTGAATCCTGCATAATTTCTCAGAATACACAAAGTTGCTTAGTAGCTTCTGGAGTCAGTACCAGATGATATCAAGCACTTGTGGAGTAGAAAAATATAGACAATATTAGTGCTTCTGCATCTGTTATATACATAGTTTATTTTGAATAGGCTGCTTTCAGACTGCATGCTATAACCACTTCATGTTACAATAGGCAGTATGGGAGAATGGAAAGAGCACTGCATTTTTAGTCAGACCGGACTATTTCTACGGGTGTAAATTGTGTCCCTTGTATATGTCACTTAACCTTTGTGCCATTAACCTAATTCTTCTTGCTATGTTGTAGTGAGGAGTAGATTGTATGTACAAACTCATACAGTGCTTAGCACAGAGAAGGAAGACTCTTACTGAATGGTAATTTGAATCTAAATTCACCTCTCTGGGGAACTTATTCCTTAAGGCCCAGCTTACATCGTTACCTCCTTTCTGTAGCTTCTCAGACTCTCTCCGTGTTCTTGACAGTGTAGTTCTAGTTTGCTCTCTGTGCTTAGTGTCTTAGGCTCTGTGGTAGCATTATTCTTATGGTTTAAATGCATTGCCAGAAGATTATTAGTATTGGCCATTTTCCTTGTGATTTAGGCCTAACCTCCTTTGTACAGTGCTAGAATTTGCAGAGATCAGAAGCTAAAGGCAGTATCCTTTTCTCCCACAGGGATTGTGAATTGTTGGCATTTCTTCTATGCACAGGGTTGAGCTTTGCTATGATTAAAGCCCTGAGGGAAAGCAAAGCATTTTCATCCTGATTTGGGCCTTTGTACTGTTGGTGTGTTCCACTTCTATTATACTTTTAACAGCTTTTATAAATTTTTACTTCTCTTCTCAAACCATACCTAGCATCTCATCTCCCACTCCAAGAATTTAACTTTGTCTGGTTTTGTTGTTTTTTTTTTTTAACCTGAGAAAATCAACATCAGGTTAGAACTTCTTCAGCTTCCTCCTCAATTTCCTCCTCCAACACTTGCAAATTATACACTTCTTTTACTTCTTTCTGTCTCCAGAGGAAAGGTGTTCTCCTTTACTTTCGTTCATAGTCAAAAAATGTGAAAGAAGAGCTTATGTTTCTTTGCTTTTTCATTTCCGATACTCCAATCTGCCTTGTCTCTACTATATTGGAATTTCTTGCTGAAATGATTAGGATTCAATGGGATTTTTTTTTCTTCTGATCTTTTGTAACCCTTAATTCATTTAATCTTTTGACGGTTCACTCCTTCAGATGTGGCTGCTAGGTCATTCTTCTCTCCTGGTTTTCTACTTCTCTGATCTTTGTATCATAGCCTCCTTCAAAGGATCTTTTTTCTCTTAGCTGCCCATTCTTTAATTTATTGAAAGAATTTATTTATTTTTAGTCAAAATAAGGAATTTAGTGGGATTGGTTGGTTGTTTTCAACTGCACTGGAAAAAGCAGGGGAAGAAAATGATGAGCTCAGGGCTTCAAATTCCCATCTCGAGTTACACATAATGACCTGAAAGGTACTATAGCTTTCCTGGAAGAAACCTTATTTCCTTTAGCTGCAAGACCAAAATTTCTTAAAACTAAACTCAGAGTTTCATTTTGCAAGTGGCTGAATTATAACACAAATTGAATTCCCCACCCTGCAGTATCTATTCTGTTAAAATTGGATCTTTACTGTGATAGAATGGGATCAAGAACATATGGGTAAATTCCGGTGAAGATGAGGGAACTTGGATGCCTAAATTCAATAGAGACTTTTTTTTTTTTTTTGGCTAGTGGAAGCAAACTTTCCACTCCTGCCTGAGAAGGTTAGTGGTATGTGTGAGACTGGGCTTGAGCCCAGTAAGTATGAAATAGGCCTTGAAGGCACAGTACATTGCATGAGGAAGTGGTCCAAATGCCCATGGTCCCTTCTCTTCGTTTATTACCTTCTCTTTCTCATGTTTTTACAGCCTCATGAGGAGTTCTCTGTGACAGTTGACTGAGCAAGAAAAACTCAAGCCTAGTTTTACAGATGTTTTTGTGTGATATGTGGGCAATAACCTCAAGTGGACAACTGCCACACTATATATAGCTGCTCTCTGTGACAGCCACTGAAAGAAAGAGGTGAAGGGAAATCCTCCAAGTGGGTGAAACTCCAAGCAGTGCACCTGGTTGTTTATTTTGCTTGGAAGGAGAAATGGCCATTTGTGTGATTATACACTGACTCATGGGCTATGGCAAATGGTTTGGCTGGATGGTCAGGGACTTAGGAGGAAAATGGTTAGGAAAGTGGTAACAAGGAAGTCTGCAGAAGAGGAATGAGAATGTGAAGTGTGAAGATATTTGTGTCCCATGTAAATTCTCACCAAAGGGTGATCGTGGCAGAAGAATACTTAAATGATCAAGTGGATAGAATGACATATTCTGTGGATACCAGTCAGCCTCTTTCCCCAGCCATTCCTGTCATTGCCCAATGGACTTATGAGCAAAGTGGCCATGGAGGCAAGAGCTGAGGTTAAACATGGGCTTGGCAAAATGGAAGAACACTCGTCAATGCCAGCCTAGCTATAGGCACTGCTCAATGACCAAATTGCCAGAAGCAGAGACCAATATTGAGCCCTCGTTATGGCATCATCATTCCTTGGGTTATCAGCTGATTACGTGTTGGCAGGTTGATTACATCGGACAACTTTCATCATGGAAAGTATAGCACTTTGTCATTACTAAAATATAAACTTATCCTCAATATAATTGTTTTTTTTTTTTCCTCTGTACACAATGCTTCTGCCAGAACTACCATACATAGATTTATAGAATGCCTTATCCACTGTCATGGTGGATCCACATAGCATCACTTCCAATGAAGAAAGTAATTTCATAGCAAATAAAGTACAGTAATGGGCCCGTGGTCATGGAATTCACTAGTCTTTTCATGTTCTTTATCATTCCAAGAAGCTGGCTTAAAATAATAGTGGAATACCTCTCTGAATAGCCAGCTTTGGTGCCAGGAACCTAGAAATACTTTGTAGAACTGAGACAGTGTCCTCCAGGATGCAGTATGTGTTCTAAATTTAGTGTATAATATTTGATACTGCTCCTTCCATAGCCAGGCTTCATGCGTCTAAGGATAAAGATGTGAAAATGCCACTCCCTCCCCTCAGTATTTACCCTAGTGACACAAAATTTTTGCTACCCTGTGCCATGTCTTTAAGTTCCACTGGTCCAGAAGCCTTAATTCCAAAGAGAGCAATGCTCCCACCAAGGGCACACAACAATTATTTCACTGAACTTGAAGTTGACCTGGCCACCTCTCTCTGTTGGGCTCCTCATGTCTTTGACTCAACAGACAAAGAAGGGGTTATTGTACTGGCTGTGATGACTTACGTGACCAGTCTTATGCGTTTTGAGATTTTTTGAGTGTAGAGGAGGCATCAGATGTAACATTCCTTAGAAATAAAACTCAAGGGGCACCTGGGTGGCTGAGTAGGTTATGTGTCCAACTTTGGTTCAGGTCATGATCTCATGGCTTGTGGGTTTGAGCTCTGCGTCAGGCTCTGTGCTGATGGCTCAGAGCCTGGAACCTGATTTGAATTCTGTGTCTCTGTCTCTCTTTGCCCCTCCCCCACTTCTGCTCTGTCTCTCTTTCATTCTCTCAAAAATAAATAAACCTTTGAAAAAATAATAAAAGAAATAAAACTCAAATTTCTCAATTTCAACAGTAAATGAAATAAATCAGTGTCACTACATGTACATTGATAGTTGTGTCAAATAATTGGGCTTAAATTTCCAGGACATAAACATCCCACAGGTAAGATACATAGCGTGTATACCACACTCCCTCAGTCAAATGAAGATCCTCATTTATGAGCCTTCCTTCTGAGCCTCTTTTTCTTTCAACCATGACAGGATCACATTTTGTCAAAAGCAGTGATCACAAGTAATGTGAAGATTGCAAGTGCTGTGATATATGATATATCACTATTTCCTTGAAGGTGTTTTTTCCTTATATATTTTTAATATATATATTTTTGAAAATTTTATTTTTAAGCAATCTCTACACCCAATGTGGAGCTTGAACTCACAACCTCGGGATCAAGATCACATGGTCCACTGACTGAGTCAGCCAGGTGCTCCTCCTTAGTGTAAATATTTTTCTGTCTGGATAGCACGTAACCCAGACATCCAAGGCTTTACTAAAATGTGAGTATGACTGTGACTATGTGACATTTATGCCAAGCCTGTTTCTTAGGTCTTCTTGTTCTTGTAGGACTTCATCTCTCTCAAAAATTCCCCCTGGTTGTTTTAAGCAACCTCCACATTGCTGATATTTCACATATGCTCATAAATAATTATGCTTGTGCCCTTCCACTCTTGTGTAACCCTGTGACTGCAAACCACAAGAGACGTACCTTCCCCTGGCAAAGAGCTGTTTCTGAGGATGCTTCTCTGCTGGGCACCGCTGCCCTTGATATGGTATATGCCAAGGCTGTGTTTCCTGGTGGGGGTGGGAGAAAGGGAGCATAGTCTCTCTGATTCTGTATGCATTTGGTCACCTAGACAAAAGGTGGCTCTGTTGAGTTCAGAGCCTCCTGCAGTCTTTCATAAACATACCTCCTTTGGCCTTTTGCCCTACTACTGCTCTCAGAAGAACTTGAACTCATCCATCAGTACAGACACATACGGATGAGAAATGAGTGAAATGAAAACAAGAAAAATGGCCTAGCATTCCAATTGCTGTCCCCAATTTTCTCTTGTCTTTATTCCACAGCTGCATCTATGCCTCTCTATCTCCTCTCAGCAGTAACTAAAAAAATAAAAAACCCCAAACCAAAACAAACAAAAAAGAAACAAAGGCAGAAAAAAAACCCAAGCCCTGCCCCCCAAAAGGCTCATATACTTTAAAGATAAATATTTGGATGCTTACTTACACTTCAGACAATCCAGTTCTTAGTTGTCTAGGAAGGTATCCTGGTACAATTTTTGAAAACATTTTAAAGTATTAAATTATATTAGAGTCTGCATAAAATATCAATCAGTTGTTATTTGGGTATACTTGCTTTACTAGCTTATTTCCCATCACTTCATATTTTTTCCCCTTAAGTGTTCCAAATATGTACTAGTTTTATATCTAGGACAATATCACAATATATTATTTCAGGAGTGCGTATACATACAGAATTCCTATAGGCTGAGTCACAGGAAAATAGGTAAGCTCTTTCTGTTGGAGACCAGTTTATTTTTGCTTTCAATTTTCAAATGAACAAGAAAAATACATTAGAAATTCATGCCGAGGTCCTAGGGTTAAATATTACAGTCTCTGCCTTTTTTGATCTGGAAGAACTATGATATGGCACAAGCTCTGAAGTCTGAAACACCTGAATTCCAACCTCACTTACATATTTTTGGTCATGAGGTCATGATGCTTTATGGATTTCAGTTTACCCCTTTGAAAACTGGAAATACTTCCCAGTATCCATGTCTGGGTTAAATGAAAAAATGTAAAGTGCCTGGTACCTAGAGGCTCAACAATTGCTACTTCCTCCTACACAGTGCACTTTCTTCCAGAGTTGTTTCAGACTTCAGTGAGTCATGACTATATGGAATTTCAGAGCTGGGAAGAAATAGATCTCAATTTTCATTGCCATGACAACAGAATCAGAGCAGTGAAAAATTTCCTCCTTAAACAGGAGCAACTGTTAACAAAGTAGCACCTTTTTAATTGGTGGCAAATACGTGATTTGGTTCCTTCTCTTTCCCCCTCTGCTTCCACTAGTTTGCCTAATCCTACTTATTTACTCTGAGTGGACCAAAGAGAGAAGTTAGCTACTGATATTCTACTTACTGTGCAAGTATTAACAATGATATCTAGTACTATTTTATCACCATCCTTCTAATTGCTACCTGCAGAATATCATGGAAGGTACCTGGGATTTTATTATAATCTAAAATTAGATCTTTCCATAATCGATGTCTGTATTTGTCAGATGTCTTTAAACTCTACTTATATATTATTCATAAGCTCTCAAAGAGTTACAGTAGCCATTCACTATTTCTTTCACTCTCAGAATAGAATCATTTCCGAAAGGATTTTTCTCCTCTTTGTTTTGACATGCCTAAAGTCGACTCAGTTAATTTCCATGGTAATATGTTTCACTCCTTCATAGTTTTAGTGGTCTTAATAACCAGCTCAACCTAGTAAAATGTAAACCTCTTCTCCCTCTTACCAAAGTTATGGAATAGCTAATCACTGTTATTAATATATTTTTGTTTGTTTTAATTAAGAAAGATCCCAAGTTATGATCCTGTCTTTATGACAGTTAACTTTTTGTCACGTGATAGCATACAAAATTATTTTAAAACAATGCATTCCATTAAAACATACTTTGAGGGGTGGTGAGGTGTCTCAGTCGATTAAGCATCCTACTCCTCTCAGGTCATTATTTCACAGTTTGTGAGTTTGAGCCCCTCATTGGGCTCTGTGCTGACAGCTCAGATCCTGGAGCCTGCTTCAGGTTCTATGTCTCCCTTTCTCTCTGCCCCTCCTCTGCTCATGCTCGGTCTCTCTCTGTCTCTCAAAAATGAATAAACATAAAAATTTTTTTTTAAAATCCTACTTTTAAAAAGTTGTTTTGAAAGGCTGATTCCTTAAAAGCAGTATGGCAAGGGCACCTGGATGTTTCAGTCAGTTGAACATTGATTCTTGATTTCAGTTTGGGTTATGATCCCAGAGTCGTAGGATCGAGCCCCATGTTGGACTCTGCCCTGAGCATGGAACCTGCTTGGGATTTTCTCTCTCTCCCTCTGCCCCTCTCCCTTACTCATGCTCTGTCTCAAAAAAAAAGCATGTGGCAGAGATCTATAACAAAGGTCAGGCTTCAGAGACAAGTAAAGAAGTTCTTTAATGAAAAATATTTTTTACTAAGTTATAATTGATATATAATATATTAGATTCAGGTGTATAACACAGTGACTTCACATCTGTATACATTGCAAAATGATTACCACAAAAAGGCTAGATATCATCTGTCACCATACAATGTTAATACAATATTAATGACTATATCCCCCATGCTGCATATTTTATTCCCATGACATATTTATTTTATAATTGGACATTTGTTTTTCTTGATCCCCTTCACCCTTTCCCCCCTTCGACCCCTTAAGCCTCCTTCCTCTCTATCAACCACCAGTCTATTCTCTGTATGAGTCTGCTTTTTGTTGTTGTTGTTTTACTTGTTTTGTTTTTTAAATTCCACATACAAATAAAATCATACAATATTTGTCTTTTTTTATCTGACTTATTTTACTTAGAATAATACCCTCAAGGTCTATCCATATTGTTCTAAATGGCAAGATTTCATTCTTTTTAATGGCTGAATAGTATTCCATTATATATAAATTATATATTATCCATATTCTTTACCTATTCATCCATCGATGAACACTTAGGTTGTTTCCATATATTGACTATTATAAATAATGCTGCTATAAAAAGACCTTTTCAGGTTAGTGTTTTTGTTTTCTTTGGACAAATAACCAGCAGTGGGATTCTGAGGTCATATGGTAGTTCTCTTTTTAATTTCGTTGAAGAACTTCCATACTATTTTCCATAGTAGCTGCACCAATTTACATTCCCACCAACAATATACAAGGTTCACTTTTTTCCATACCATTACCAACATTTGTTATTTCTTGTCTTTTTGATAAATAATATCCACTTTAACTGCTAAAGAT